AAGGTGTCAGGTTCTGCCGAGCTCAGCTCTCACGATACGTAAATTGAGGGTCCCTCAAGCTACGCCCCCGAAGTTTGATGAGTTATATAAACCTTTCGACCTGAGCCGCCAACCTAAACCCATCAGTCCGTCCTAACTCTGTGAGGCCAACGCAGCTCTCCACGGCCGAGTCTTGCAAAAGCCGCTCACCTGCGCATGTTCTTAAGTTGGCCCGTGAGTTAGGCCCTGCATGGGTGTCACTATCCAAGCTTGGAGCCGTGGGAAATGCAGCTATTGCAAAATAGTGAGAGGGGTTTGGTTGTTCCAAGCTTGGAACAATGGCCAGGGTAGCAATCCCTAACCCCCCAATGGGCCCCAGGTACCTACTATATTACTATATAGGGTACTAGAGCTCCTAGGGCCCTATATAGTAGGTACCTGGAGAGTTAGGCAATAGCTGTTCTTGGAAGATTGAGAAAGGCTCGCTTTTCTCCAAGGCAGGGATGGGTGGCTGTTCCGAGCGGGGGACAGCGGGAAGATCAAAGCCAGACTGTCTTAGCATGCCGTTGGCAAGAACCTTCCGTTTGGGAACTGGCTTAGGTTGTTTGGTTGTTTTGTCCGGGTAAGAGGAGCTCGTCAATCCCTTGCTTCGTATGTTTATGTTGGCGGTTCTTGCAGGGCTGTTGTAGGGTTTCTGTTTGGGCACGGCGGGCAGCAGCCCTGTGCTAGGTCTGATTCAGCGTTTCTGATTTTGAAGATGGCGCTTTACTTGGAAGAGTCAGAAGCCATGTCCCTACAGTTGAGACTTTGAGTTTGTGCTTTTTACATAGGGCCGAAGGCTTTTTGCGTTTTTCGATAAGGGCATAGGCGGCATAGGTTTCCTGGCATTCGGCTTTCGATTGCGAAGGAGTCTCGAGGTGGAAAGGTGTGGTGTGGAGACAGAGATCTTTCTTGCCATCTCTGGCTGCCTCAAAGTACCTACAAAATTGCGTTTTTTTAATTCATGTTGTGTATGCATTGTGTCAAGAGGACCTGGTGGCAAAGTCGAGTGCTACGAAAGCTTGGGCGGTTGTCTTTCTCTCTCGCTCAGGAGGTCTGCATGCCAACGCGTGTGTCGATCGTGGGCCAGCACGGAGAGCCCCCCAAGATTGCGCGCGCCCTTGCCTCAGGTTCAGCTCGTTCTGCGAAGCTTTCAGGGGAACCTGGGTGTATGCCGCTTAACAGATCCCGAGCCTGAAGTGTTCCTGGACTCGCACGGAACTTCGGCACATGCCAACAGTTGGCTCAAGCCTCCACCCGGTGAGAGGATGACATGCTGCAGCTGTTGAAGGTGATATCAGCTGCTATGGCCCTGAGCCTCCATGGCTGCTCGAATGGCTCGGGCTCAGACAGCTCTAGTGACACGACAGCGTCGGGCTGTAATGTGGCCGTGGGTCAGGCCTGTGTGACCACTTATCAAAGTTCCATCGAAGCGGCCGGCACGGATACAGCCGGGACCTGTGCTGCAGTGGCTGCTTATGTGAATTGCGTCCAAGATTCCGATTGCTGCTCCGATGTTCGCATCAAGCAAGGCTTGGATTCAGTTGTCGACACCATGTCGCAATCAACATGCACTGGGGACAATGCTATCTCGGCAACGTGCGCCTGAGAGTGCGCAGACAGCGTCTCGCCAGTGTCAACCCACGCCAATGCGCGTGCTCTTGCGAAAATATTCGCAGGAGTCTGGTTAGCTGTAGCTTGTACACATACTCAAGTACCACACCAAAGCACAAGTACCGTTCTACGGCTCGAATGCGAAAACAGCAGGGCAGCTAAGCATGTTTTGGGAGCATTAGCACCACTGCCACCAGATCGAGACCATATTCTCGATTTAGAGCTGGCTGTGGTTCCCAGAGCCGGCTTTGGAAGCGGCCCAAATACCCTTTATGGCGTGACCCGCATAGCCCATGAGTTTAGAACATGGAGGGTCTGCCGGTACGCGCATCCGCAAGCCCTGTACTCTGAAACGAATTATGCGGCAAGGTCTCGATTCCGAAACCAGCTTCCCGGAATTCGAAACTACCTTGACGGAAGACACCATACCGAAATGCTTGTGATGCAACCCTGGTGTCTCAATGCTTCCAACCCTACCTGCATAGGCCATAGGCGCAGCAATAACAACAAGAGCAAGAGCAAGAACAACCAGAACAATCAGGAATGCTCCAAAGGCCTTTGACGCTTGCAACTAGATAACTAAGTAGTACATAGAAGCACATAATCAACACATACAGAATACCTCGAACTGATGGTGCAGAGAGAGAAAGAGGAGAGGAAGACAACGACAGACAAGCAGAACATCGAACATGTCAAACAACCAACCCAGTTGTATCTGATGCTGGCTTGTCTGGTTTCATGGTCCTACGCTACCCTTCCTCTTTGATGTTCCGTGCTTTCCGTGCTTCACTGTTTCTTCTGCAAATTTTGGTCCCTAGACCCTAAACTCTGAACCATAAACCCGCAACCCTACAAAAACCCTAAGCCCTTAACCCTAACCCCCAAACCCTCAAACCCTAAACCCCAAACCCTAAAACCTTAAACCCCAAACCCTAAACCCTAAACCCCTAAAAACCTAAACCCCAAACCCTAAAACCTTAAACCCCAAGCCCTAAAACCTTAAACCCTAAACCCTAAACCCCTAAACCCTAAACCCTAAACCCCTAAACCCTAAACCCTAAACCCCTAAACCCTAAACCCCATGGCTTCTCAGAGTCCCAGGCGGAGAAGAGACCTTCACAGCTCGGATCTCCAGGGAGCCTTGGCCCGCTGGAATGCGACGGTCTAAGGGGTACCTTATTTTGGGGTCCTTATAATAAGGATCCTACTATTTGGGGTACTATATTAGGATCCCCTGTTTTCGGAAACTCTTATGTGTGTACCCGTAGGCCCCATAGTAGTTCCTTTTTGGGTTTGCCTTATAGGATTCTATATATAACCCCAAAAAGGAACTACTTTAGGGCCTATGGGTATGCACGTCCCCATATTATATTGATAGTTGCATGTGTGTTTATATTTACTCTGCAAATAATTTACCGTCAGATCTACATCTTCCTTTTGCAGCATCACATACAGAGACAAATAATTAGACAAGTAATAAATACATATATCATTGAACCTGTATATATATATATACACAAATTAAGTACGTGCATACATGTGTACAATTTCTTGTCTTGCTCTCGTTTTGGATAGAAGACTGTTCTTGCATCAATGGCAATACTGCTGACAACAAGAACAGCAGCAGCAATGATGATGGCGACAATGGCTTTGTTGCACTGTGCGTATGTACGCATCTATGTACAATGTGCAGCAAGGTGGGTACACATATACACATATGTGTGTGGACATATGCACACATGCCTGTGTGTCTGTGTATGTATATATATATATATAACATTTTTACATACATACGTACATACATACAGACCAGACCAGACCAGACCAGACCAGACCAGACCAAAC